ATGCCAAGTCAGTGATAAAACACTTTTTAAAAATATATTATTTAATACTACTTTAGATTGTTTCTTACATTTTTTCAGCGTTTGGTTTTTTAAAGCAGGGGTTATTGAAGGTATCTAGACTGCCTTACTCTCAGAAAGGAAGTAGAAATTAAAATTTGCTTTCCTTTGCTGTAATATAAGTAGGAAATATAATAGGTTGTAGTCTATTCAGAATTACAGGATGCTTTGTTCTCTCCATTGTACTGTCCTGTGAGATAGCACTTTTATGGTATAGAATTGTATAGAAAACTATTGTTTTAGTCATACTCTACCTCCACAGTAAAGAATGGCTCTGGAAAAAAAAAAAAAAAGAATGGCTCTGCCAGTTCCTTAAATGGCTGTTAGCCCCAATATTACTTTTGTTGATTAGTGATTGCTTTGGTCTGGAAAAAAGGATTCGGTTTCTTATAAAACTAATATTGGGCATTATATATGCATGAATGGGCCTTTGACATACCTGTCCTGGCTGAAAGGCACTATCTGTTATGACTTGTCTGTTCCTAGCAACTTGTTTTCAACCAATTTATTGTTTAGTAGCTAAGTTGTATGCAATTCTTTTTGCGACCCTCTGGACTATAGCCCAGGAGGCTTCTCTGTACATGGGATTTCCTAGGCAAGAATACTGGAATGGATTTCCATTTCCTTCTCCAGGGGATCTTCCCGACCCAGGGATCAAATCCGCATTTCCTTCTTGGCATGCGGATTCTTTACCACTGAGCCACCCAATGCTTAAAGGTTCAGGACTGTCTTTTCAGATGTGCTTTGAAATTGAGCCCTGGAAAAGAGGTGTAAAAGTAAGACACAAAATTGTTACCATTTGCACTTAAGGGTACACTAAAGGCAGGCCTAAACTATGCCTTTTTAAAAGAGGCCAAAACTTATGCTGTAGTGTCAGAGTTTTTTAATCTCTTTTATTTTTTTGGAAGATGGAGCATTACCTATTAACTTGTAATTTCTGCCCCTAAAACCAATACATAGCCATTAGGTCTCTATAGACACAGCCAGCACTTACTTGACTGATTTTATTTGGCATGCTTGGTGGCATTAAACTTGGCAAAGGAGTTCTTCCAGTACATTGCCTTGCACTGGTGCCTATTTGATATGCAGTGCAAAAGGAAACTGTCTTTGGAGTAAGGTCAGGGAAAGCTGTAACTATATTAATAGGCAAGCTTATATCTCAAAATGTGACACCCAGAAGCCAGCGATATGAATCTATCCTAGTGCCGTCTGTGGTCCATGATTTGAAAGGATTCTGCCTTCTGGTTTTAAAATTCTTAAAATCAGGTATATAAAGCAGCATAGTCTTGAAAGAAACATCCAGGAGTCTATAGCAGCCAGCATATCGACTATTACAATCCAGTCTTGGGTGGTGCTATTTTCTGTGATGATTAGTACAGTTTTTACAAAAGTTTTAAAGGCTTTCCTGATGAAGTTTAAACTAAGATCTGAAGGATGAGTAGGCCTTAGGCAGAGGAAGAGAAAGAATGTTCTAGACAGAGGGAAGTTGATGTGTTTAAAGCCATGGCAGGGTGGTGGGAAGGATCAAGGAACAGGGCACAAGGAGTCCGCGGGCCAGAATGGCAGAAGAGAATGAGGCAAGAGGAAGCTCAGCTTGGTGAAATTAAGCAAAGTAACATTTCCAGCTCTGAAAGAAAGCATCAATTAAAACTGAGTATTTTTTAGACAGTATAGTACAGCCCTTTGAGAAACAAAGTTAGTAGAGTTCTATTTTTTACTCAAGAGCACACTGTATGACTTATAAGTTTAATGCTATATATGTATATGTAAATTATTACATAAACTAATATATAAATAGTCAAATTCAGAGAGACCAAAAATATACATTTAAAATTGACTGGCTTTGGGAATTCCCTGGCAGTGTTTAGGACTTGGTGCTTTCACTGCCAGGGGCCTGGGCCTTATCCCTGGTTGGGAAACTAAGATCCTGCAAGCCGTGTGTGTGGCCAAAAATATAATAAATTTAAAAAAATTTTTTTTTCAGTAAAATAGACTAGGCTTTTGGTAGAAATCTCATCCAGTAACATTTAAGTGACTCAGAAGCATAATTTACTACATAAATCAACAAATAATTGTCTTGTTTTAGACAGCTGATAACAGGTTTCCCTAAGAGAAAATGTATTTTCCAAGAAAATTTTACACTGTAAGATTTCATTCTTGGTGAATGGTAGAAACTATTTAAAAACACTTTTTAAAAAATTTTCATGCCTATTTGATACTGCTGTGAAATCCTTTTAGTTGGGCCTTCATAATAGCTGTGTTCAATTAGCATTATTAAAGGTTAAGTTGTATTCCTGTGACCCAGTAAGGCAATCCAGAAAACTTGAAGAAAGGAAAATACTGCATAGGCAGTATACAGTAAGAGGAAAAGAAATACAAATAACTTAAAACATCATCATACCCAAGCATATGACACTAGGAAGGTAGCATTAAAAAAAACTCCAGAGCATCTCCATTGTGAGGTAGTGAGGGTATATAGAAGCTACTTAAGTCCTTTCTTCTATGACTGAGTCATGATACCCATGTCTCTCAGACACTCATAAAGCAGTATGTACACACTTACTTAGGTTAATGGAAGAGCTTCTGTGGGCTCCCCTGGTGGTTCAGGCAGTAAAGAATCTGCCTGCAGTGCAGGAGACTGGGGTTCAGTCACTGGGTTGGGAAAATCCCCTGGAGAAGGAGCTTATTATATACTTCAGAAGTTCCAGGGAGGGAGAAAGCATGACATTCAATTACATGCAACATGGCCAGGTGAGCAGGCAATACTGTCTGTCACATGCAGCAGAGGGGACTATGGACCTGACACATGTAGATGGCCAATGTTCTTCCAGAGTCTGAAGCCCATATAACCCAAAGTTGACCAACTTTACCTCTTCAAGTTTCGGTACTAATAGTGAATTATTAAATTTAGAATTTCGTTTTGGTATATATTGATGTAAATTTTAAAGTTGTTTAATTCCTTTTTTATCTTGATTCTTAAACAGCCCAATCTTTAAACTTTAGAGAAGGAAGCTGATAACCAAAGATCAAGTGCTTTTATCAGTTATATAATGACATACTGCCTGGATCAAATAGAAGATATTTCAAAAATACAATTATATATGCATCAAAAGCCTTAATTTTGCATATCTATTAAACCAACAATTCTGCTAAAAGAATTAACTTGAAGAAAACAGTCATGGATGTACACAAGATTCAGTGAAGTGTTGTTTATAACTGAAAAGATGTATATAGTCAAAATGTCCAACAGAAGATTAAATAAATTATGTTTCAGCTATACAACAGAATAATAAAGAAATTAAAGTAGAAGACTTACGTAATGACCTGGGAAAGATGTTCACAATATATTGTTAAGTGAAAAAAGCATGTTACAAAACAGTATGCAAGTATGAGCCCATTTTATAAAAATATACATATTTAGCAAAGTAAAAGGACAAATATTTACCAAAATATTAACACTGGTTACTTTTAACATTGTAGGATGAGGTTGATTTTGCTTAGCCACACTTTTTTGCCTATTTGAATTTTCTGTAATGAAGATTATTCTTTAAATGGGAAGGTAAAGAGGGAGTTATTAACTTCAGATTATCCCAGCTGTGCCCTCAGAAGCTCCTTCTGGCAAAGAAAATGTTTCTCTCCAGCCCATATCTGGGAAATTGCTTCTCCCTTGTAAATCTGAGTGTCTTTCCAAGATGACAGTCACTCAAAGTGTCTTTTAGGCAAACTATACAAGAGCAATTGTTGATTAAAAAATTATCACCAAAAAGAACAGGTGAGAAAATACAAATCTCCTCACTTTAAAAAAGCAACAACCCAAGTGCAGTGCTATTAAATTATACAAAGTTACATTATCTAAATTTAGTTTATTGCAAAGATCAAGACAGCACACTAGAAGTTGGCAGCTTCTTTCATACCATTGGCAGCACTCACTCTGCTCTTCATTTCATTCACTCACCCGTGCAAAAAAGGTCTGTACACACACAATGATGTCTGACATTTCTTGGTTCCCACAGTATAATAGGAAACTTGACATTTCAATTAAAAAGGTAAAATGAGGACATTTACCATCAGACTAAAATTCCTCTTCTGGAAGAGGGTATTATGTAGTATTTGAAGATATGCTATGGAAAAATCATACACAAAATGAAAGGGGCACCGTTTCAAAAGCACTAGGACTACAGCAAACTTATGAATCCCAACACTCATAATAATGTAACTTGGAAACAAATCTTGTCTTACCAAAAGCTCCAATAAACTAAAACTATCTTACCAGGCACAAGGAACAGTGTAAACACTGTTAATGGGCACCAAGTTGAATAGGGCAGACAATATTTGCTTCTGCATTCACACTTAATCTCTCAATTACTTCTAAAAAAAATGGTACTGTTTAAACTATGAATGTTTTACAAAAAAAGTTAATTTTTAATAAATATGGCAAATGCTAAAAATCTAGCTAGGTTATCATGCAAGATATTATATAACCAAGACAAACTCAAATTTATAATAAAGGCAACTTGCATTCAAAATGAACTCTACCCTTATATTTTATTAAAAGGGCAAACATCATGAATTAACCCAGCTGCTTACTTGAATTACAAAAGTAACATGATTCAATATGAAAATAAGAAACTGTCTACAAATCTCTGACAGTAATAAATTGCAATATACAATGCATACAGGAGTCATACAGAGCAACAAACTCTTGTACAAAACAAAAATATTTTAATACCTTTAAAATCCAAATTTTTCTTTAAAATCATTCATGAAAAAGATTCTCAAGTCAGGATTAACACCTCAATTAGTCAAGCATTGGGAAGCTACATTACAGCTATTTAATATACAAAGAGACATCTTTTCACCAGTCAGTTCCTTCTAATGTCTCTGTTCCAGAATCTGTGTACAGACTTGGTTCTCTATACTCTCCGTTCCATCATTTCTCCAGATCATGAAAACTGAATTTGTTGAACGCCAGAAATCTAAGATTTGAACATTTAAATTGGGCATAATTAAAGAAAAAATAGTTTAAAAGTAGCATGTATACTATTAACATTCAAAGAATAAAAACAGAAGGCAATGAAACGTAAGACTAGTTCCCACCCCAAATTTCCATTCTCTCTACTTAAGGGAGCTACTTCAATAATCTCTTGTATATCTTTACAGAAATCTATGTGAATACACACATTCCCTCAATATCCACAGTGGACTGGTTCCAGAATGCCCTGTGGATGCCAAAACACACAGATGCTCAAGTCCTTTAGTCAGCTTTCAGTATCCATGGGTTCTGCACCTGCAAATTCCATCTGCGGATTCAAGCAACGACGGACTAGAGACGGCATATGATCCACAGCTGGTTGAATCCATGGTGTGGAACCCGTGGATATGAAGGACAGGCTAAATGAACATCTGTGTACATATCTGTAACCATAAGAGAATACTATACACAGTTATATATTTTGAGAAAACAATTTTTAACAACTCTCTTTATCCAGTTCTTAATAATTATGTTGACGTTAACTACCTGCGATTTAAAAAATCAATGAATATAATTTAAGTAATTTAAAATACAGAGAAAGTACGGTACCTGTTGATATGATGTTGTGTAAACCATAACATTTTGTTGCTGACCATCTGCAGTTATTAAGCCAGCTGGTAACTGGTTAGCTAGAAGACAAACAAACAAATGCTCAAGTAGGTAAAGAAGTGCATCTGCTTTCTTGACCTGAATCTTAAGGCTGGGTGATTTTCCATTTAAAAAAAGTTTCCCCAAAAGCACATTTTTTCCTATAGCATTTTTTCAATTTTCTGAAGTGTACTTTCGCTAACTGCCCATGTGCATAAAAGATGGATTAAGTTTCTGATTCATAAATACACCTAAACTCTAGGCTTAGGCTTGGCTGAGAACAACACTTACATAACTAAGCAGATGTATTTTAAATATGAGAAATATAAAATATATACATATAAATTTTATATGATAAATATAGTCACCATAGACCTTTTATTTCACAAATGCCTAATGTCTCAATTTTTAAGAAACCTTCAGTTCAAATTTATTTAAATCACAAGATTTAATATTATAAACAATTCTCAATATTCCTATCTCATGAATCTTAAATAATAAATTAGGGACTATGGAAATCAGAACTATTGGTAAAAGATTATAATCTCTGCAGAATTAAAATTTATACACTTATCCCTCACAGACTTCAAATATAAGGGCACGAACTAGTAAGAGCTATTCAAAACAGTGCTATGTCAAAACACACAGTGCTAATATTCCAAAAGTTCCACTAAAGACATATCCTGCTAATCACTGCCAACAACTGAGCTGCACAAACGTATGGTAACACCGCTTACTAAACGCCTCCTCTGTGAGCTCCTCGCTTAGTCCATCTGTAGCTGTGACTGCTCCACCGATCCCCTTCTCTCCTTTCATAGCCTGGGGAAGGAAACGAAACAGTCATCACTGGCACTCAAAACAGCAGCAGCAGCGACAAAAACCTGCTTCCTAAATGAGAATGCTTGCTTCGTTCCTAGAATTAGAGGCTCCTATTACTCTAAAACTATTAACACTTCTGGTTAATAACATATGGGGAGGTCCTTCAAAATGCTAACTGTTATATATGCAGTGGTCATCACAAGACAGTGTTAGTAATGACCTATAAAATCTAAAATATTTATAAGTAAAAAGTTATTCTAATTCGACACTATGTCAAAAGGGAAAAGAAAAGTCTAATTACAGATGAAGTAGTCTGCAAAATATTATAAATACTCAGCTTGCAAATCTACTACAAAATGATCCCAGTATCATTTAACTATATACACATCTCTTGGCCAACTAGGCAGCACTGAGGCAGACAGTTGGGAGTTTAAAATTCCTAAATCAGGACTACAGTTTGGATCAAAGACCACTTCAATGTCTGTCGACACTCAGGTTCTAGTAATCTAATAATGCTGAAGATCTGGAAAAGTCCTGTAAAGAATTAACACATTCCCTTCCTACTCCAGTCATTTTGTACAGATATGAACACTGAAGACATTAAGAAAATATTTTGAAAGTAGTATGAATCTGACACCCAAGTTGGAGTATAGCATTTAAAAATATGCTGATCTTAATTCATTTTCACAAATTCATATCATAGGCAAAGAAAAACCAAACATGAGATGTAGAAAAATTTAATTAATGTAAGAAAAGGATATAGTTGTAGTTCCCTATCTTTTTATCTAAGCGGCCCCAAGCTCTGAGATACTACCTCTTTTAAATTAGTAACAACAGCATGTGCTATTAATGACATTATTGACCATTCAGTATGTGCTAGGCCAAGGGTTGTACATGGATTGTTTTACTTTATCTTCTCAGTAACTCTGTGAGGTAGGTCCTATTATTAGCCTCACTTTACAGATCAGGAAACCAAGGCCTAAAGTACTTAAATAATCTGCCCAGGGTCACGGAGTTCAGCATCCAGGTGGTGTAAATCCAGAGTCCATGCTCTTTTAGTCATTACATAACTATGCTGCCATTAGTAATAAACGAAGAAGAAAGGACTTACTATTTAAGTTCAGTAATATAAGTGATTACATACTTCTGAGAAATGATTCATATGTTTAAAAAGTTAAAGCAAATAGTGTACCTTATTTTCTTAAAAGCATAATGGGAGGCACTTACCTCTCTGAACTTTTGAAGGTATAATTTCAAAGGTTCTACATAACTGTCGAAGCCTAAGGTAGACATGGCAAAAAGAATATCTTCTCCATTGATTGTCTTCCGTTTCTCTTGATGGCATCTTTCACTTGCTTCAGATGTTATAAAGCTGATGAACTCGCTTACACATTCTTGAACACATTCTTTGGCATCTTTTGCAATCTGAGGAGAAAAATCAAAGGTAAATCTGCAGGGAATATAATCACCACTTTCCTAACAAACTGAAAAAAATAAAAGGCTATTCGGAAGAATATAAATTTCAGTTAATGACTGTTAACCTTTAATATTTAAAAATATCTGCTGATAACACTGAATAACGTATGCTATCAAAATTCGAACCCCCAGAGTGAGACTGAAAACTCAAATACAAGGAGAGAGGCTTTGACAGCTATTCACAGAAAACAGAATTTAGGTATAAAAGCAACCACTAGATGACTCTATTACCCAATAAAGATGAAAATTCTTACTAACCAAGTGCCCAAGAAAATCAATCCTCTTATGTCTGGAGTGTATTGTGGGCTAAACTCAAGTCCCGCTTCTCTGCCCTGGCACTTCCACCAGTGAGGACACCAGAAAGTTTTTAAAAACAAATAAGTTTGTGTAAGGCTTACAAGGGAGTGAAATAATGACATCTAGTGACATTTTTATTAATAAAGACACACTTTGTCAGGAATGGGTTTTGAGTTTATGAAAAAGCCTACCAAAAGAAGCACACACCTGTCATCCCATTATAAAAACAATTCTTCACTCAGTGATCTAGGGTTTCAAAGTGAAACTGTAACAGAGTAAACCATGCAATTCCAAAGTCAAGGTCTAACAGGAATGACCAAATCCTTGCTGAAAAACACTTTCACCTCCATGCCTATTTTACATCCTGGAGAAAAGTAACAAGAGTTACTGCATAAATGCAGTCAAGCAAGATAATATAATGTGAGCTGTATACAGGACTTTAGATTTTCTAGCAGCTACACTAAAAAAAAAAAAAAAGATGAAATTAATTTTAATATAGTTTGTTTAAACTAATAAATCCAAAATATTATCATTTAAACATAGAATCCATTTAAAAGTTGAAGTATACCTCAATAAAAAACATTTTAAAAATTGAGATATCTTTATCCTTTTTTTTCAAACTATGCCCTCCAAATCTGGGGCATGTTTTATATTTACAGCACATCTCAAGTCAGACCAGCCAACATTTCAAGTGCTCAGTGACCACAGGCGGCTAGTGGCCGCCGCAGCCGGCGGCGCAGGCCTGCCCAGACAGCAGTGAGCAGCAGCGTGCCTCTTCCCCCTAACACAGGAGGACCGTTCAAACTGCAACATCTAGGCTTAATGATATATTTTAATAATATACTTCCTTGTTAGCTTTATTACTTTCATAAGTATTTTCTAAGCTATAATAAAATGAGAGGGAACTTATTATGCAACATAAAACAATATAAAAAGTGTGGACTTCAGACCAAGTGATAAGCAGAGTGACAATAAGTTTTTAAAGCTGTTATAGGTTAACTATTTATATGGTTGTTTCTCTATGAGACAAAACAACTTAGAAACATCATGCCAAGGACTTCCCTGGTGGTCCAGTGGTTCAGACTCTAGGCTTCTACCATAGGGGACATGAGTTCAAACCCTGGTGGGGAACTAAGATCTCACATGCCATGGGGCAGGATCAAAAATAAATAAAAATGTAAAAATATCATGCCAGCTGAATTTAAATGTATATTAACATTTACAATTACAGACAGAGTTTCCAGATATATAGACTTGGGTGGAATATCCATTAGTCCAACATGATCCAATTCTGATGCAACATTTTAGAAGTTACAACTTCACAGGCCCCAAGCAATGTACCTATTTTTAAAACAATTCTTAATTCTGTTTTATCTCCTTCCAGCAAGTGTGGTCGGGGAGCTTTGGGGGATATAAGAGAACTGAGATTGGAACACTGCTCAGTAACCAAGTGTGTACCACTGAACTAGGTATTCTGCTGAAAGGCTGAATGACTGAAACCAATAGCTAACTACATTCATGCACTATGTGTACATGTAGTTTTACTTTCTCCCTCTTCACCCCTGAAAAATAAAACTTATTTAAATTTCTCCTCTGCATTACCTTTCCCGTTTGCGGTATGGCATTTTTCATTATCCTTGCAACGTTTGCAATTGGAAGGTATATATCTTGTTCTCTAAAACTTTCTTTTGAACCGTTCGTGTCTTCATGATCATTCATGCTGTCCTCAGTATCTAAAGGAAAACAACAGGTTTATAGGTTCTCATAATTTTTACTTTAAGATAGAGAAGACTACCTGAAACAATCTAGGATAAGTGACATTCTGATTCATCTCCTAATTATTTTTCAGGATTAAAATGGCAGGTCTTTACTTAAGTTTCCCAGGGCCATAACTGAATATCCTCATTAATTTCAAATCCACTGCCTAGAATACTTTTATCCTCAACTCTGCCTACTAACTCTCCCAAAAGCTCAAATACGTCTCTCCTGCACTTTCAGAAGCGATTTCTCTTTCACAAAATATCACATGTACTTCTTTGTCTCTTCTCTAACACATTTTGTAATTCTTATTTCTCATTCTCCTCTTAGCTTTTGGCTGAGGCCAGGGATCAGCTTTAAGTTCTTCCATTTGGTATAGCAGCTGCAACAGAGCAGGTTGTTGAACAAATAAATATTTGTTACATAACTTAGCTATAAAACATAAGAGACTGACCTATGGCTCCATGCATATAGCTAGATTAAGAGGATGTATGTTTATTCAAAGCCAAGTTTATATAGAACAGAAAAACTGGACTTGAATATTACTGACCCAATTGCAGTATTACTAACGTAGTAATGTTTTTTGAACAAAGCTATAGCGGTAATGTTCTTACAAAAAGTAAATTTTCAAATTATATAGATTTAGATATAACTGAAGCGTTCACAGTACAAGTATCCTTTTATGATTAAATGCAGTATCCTGAAAGTAAACTTCCCATTCTTTTATATATGTTACATAAGAAAGGTACTTAAGTTGATTCAATTTATATTTTTATGTGTTTAAAATGATGTTATCAAAATTAACTTGTTTGAATTGTTTAAAAATGAAGTAAATAATCAATTACCCACCCTCAACTACCTTCATCTTAGTATTTTTTAATTCTACTCATCAGAATGCCACAAAAGCAAATTATTTCTGACAGGCCAACATAATGCTGCCATTCTAATACAAAGTTAATACTTGATATTGAATAAAAAATAAAATTACATCTGTTCATAAGTACTGGAAATATAACAGCTAGCACCCACACACTAAAGAACTAGTTTATTCTACCAATTGAATAAGAATTTTCCATATATAATACTTAAGTAGGGAATCAGTAACAAATTAAAGAAACTGTACCAGCTTTAAAAAGGCATACATTTACAAAATTCTTTTCTAAAACCCATCATTCTTTTGAAAACTAATTTCTAATAAAAATAGGCAAGTACACCTCTTAGACGAACACTCAACTGTGACAAAAGATTTCAAGTTTTCCTGTAAAGACAAAAGGAACCTAGAACATCACATCAATAAAATTTCCACTTTCTCATTTTTTCCTCCTTGTGAATGTGTTTCTAATTGTGGCTTTCTTACCATCATGAGGCTGTATAACATAATGACTCCCTCCAATATAGTCTGCAGAAATCCCTAGTTGAGAAGCATCTGTGGTAGAACTGTCACCATCCATCTACAAGGAAAAAAAGCTTTTCAATAATCTTCAACAAAACTTGTCTAAAAAACTACATTAATAGATTCAGTGCTCATAAACTGTTACAGGATGAGTCAATTACATTTTCCATAGCTCTAAGCTACGGAATGTTTACTAAAAGAAACATTTACTAAAATGTTTACTAAAAGAAAACATTTCCACTTCTTGTTTTGGAAATGTTTTAATAATTTGCCAATGATTCAAGATTCTCCTACCTACCCTCCATAAGTGATAAGCCTACAAGGAAATGAATCTAAAACACACGTCTTTCTTTTCAATTGCATAATCCTCAAATACCATACAGGCAAGCCTGACTTACAACCTAATTTATCCCTGGAATAACAAGAAGAGCCAAAATCAGCTTGTCAGTAAGTCACCTGGAAGTCACCTATATCCAGCATGTTCAGCTCTCCTGCTAAAGCCAGGTAAACTCCTACACAAGCATTTTTGCTCTTGCTGCAGACTTTCTTTGCTATCTCAGAAGTTCCACAGAGACAATGCCCTGGCTCAAACTATTGTCTGGTATAAGAAACATGGATTCCTTGCACAATTCTGTGCCCATGCAGCCCAAAAGCACACCCACATTTTGAACAAGCTCATCACCTCTAACTGAAAGGTTAATTTTCTCCACCCCCACCCCTACTCCTGACTTTTGACTTGTACAGAAAAAAACAAAAAGAGGGGTCGGGGAGATTGGAGATCTGCATATAAAAATATGAAAGTGTTATAACCACAGACAAAAATGAGTGTTAAAATGAGTATTTTAAAAGAACCCTGGGAGTTCCCTGGTGGTCTAGTGGTTAGGATTTAGCGCTTTCACTGCTATGGCCCTGGTTCAGTCCCTAGTCAGGGAACTGAGATTCGTCAAGCCATGCAGTGTGGCAAAATAAAGCTAAAAGAACCATGCTTATTTATACGCACAGCTGAGTCCCTCTGCTGCTCACCTGAAACTATCACAACACTGTTGACTGGCTACATCCCAGTTCAAAATAAAACGTTCAAACAAGACAAAATAAAAAAGAACCCTGCTTAACTTTGCTCAGAAGTAAAAGAAGGAGAATCTGGAAAAAAAAAATGAAAACCATAAGCCCTGAACTGTCTCTATTCCAACATGGCAAATCCTGGAAGTCTTTCTGCTTTGCAAATAATACTATTGAAAACAATAAGGGACTGGCTATTTGTGGGTAGAAATTTTTTGGATGTATTATCTGAATAAAAAATTCCTAAATGTTTATCAAGGTCCATGACCTAGCACAAACTTGACGTTATTAACTGCAATATTTGAGTCCTTATGCAATACCTCTTTTCCATCTCTGTTGGATTTTTATCTATTAAATACTACTAAAACACCAGGCTAGTTTCCAAGCCTTCAACAACATGGCATTTGATGCATCTGATGAGGGGCAGAGAAAAGAATTCAGCTACTTTTAATAATTTGTAGAAGTGCAGGGTACCTATTTATGATGCTTCTTAGTGCCCTCTAAGAGGAGGTAAACAACGGTCAGTGAGCTTGGGTTGAGACTCTCACTGATCCCCGAAAACAAGCATCCTTACCCGTTAAATGTAGTTCTATATAAAATGGAAATAATTTCACCTTCCCCATCTTAAAACAGCTAATATATGCCTGAAATATTACCCAAATATAAAATGCTATTTTGATTCTAAAGTGCTAAAAAGATACTAGGAGAATAGCCTTTAATAGTTATGATGATGGATTTATTACTCATGAAAAAGTTCAATTAGGATAGCTGTGAATTGACTGGTTTTTACAATGCCCTAGGGGAGATCATTGGAAAAGACCCTGATGATGGGAGGGATTGGGGGCAGGAGGAGAAGGGCTTGACAGAGGATGAGATGGCTGGATGGCATCACCAATTGATGGGCATGAGTTTGAGTAAACTCTGGGAGTTTGTGATGGACAGGGAGGCCTGGCGTGCTGCGATTCACGGGGTTGCAAAGAGTCGGACACGACTGAGCGACTGAACTGAACTGAGGGGAGATCAGGGTACCAGAGACAGGATCAAAGTGATTGTTTAAGAGTGTACAACTGGAAACAAATCCAGTTTGTTTTTTTAGGAAGGTGGGGGGATGAAGCAGTAACAAATCTTTTGCTAAATCAATGTCTACAAGATAGCCTGGGTTTTTTAATTAGCTGATGAGCAAGACTGTTGAAATAATGATGGTCTAGGAGATTAATTAATTTTCAAATACAATGTAAAAAAGTATTAAAGTCAAGAAGTTTAAGTCACATTAACTTGTCCTGAACTGGAATTAGCAGCAAGATCATCACTGGAACTAATAGCATTAGCTTCTAAACCTCAGTCTTCTAAAAAATATTCCTACAAGTATTTCACAGAGTTGTTAGAATTACAAAAAGAGCAGAAGCCTGCTGAGGATGGACCTTGGCACACAGTGTACTTAGGAGACTTCAGGTCTCACCGTCCCTCCTTTGAAGATGAGCCACACGTCAGCCGCTTAGCTGTGTGTGGCTTTGGTTCTGCAAGCCTTAGCTTTTCTGTCACTTCACCACTCCTGTCTTCCTCTCCTCTATTTTTCTACCATTAAAATCCTGCCTGATACTTTAATCCCAGTGTTCATCCATCTTCCTGAATATGATTTACCCTATTCCCTATTCTGTAAGCCAGAAATTAGTGTTCCATATTGGAATCCCCAAGGCTTGGAAATTCCACATATTAGCCTCTTCTTTGATGCCTATAATATGCTAGCTATTCTCTTACTTATACATATAAAAAATGAGGGGGGTAACTTGCTAGATACATCCCAAAAGTTTTTTCCAGTTCTAAAACTTCCTATCAAAATTTCAAAATAGTTTGTACAGCATAAGTCAGTCAGTGAATAAATATTTACCAAGTAAGCACCTAGTATTTATCAGGTCTGTACCGTGTGCTGACGACCTCACAGGTCAATAACAAAGACAAGGTCTCTGTCCTGTCTTGTAGAGAAGACAAATATTACATAAACTGGGGGCAAGGGGAAGGGGTGGGGAGCACAGCCCATTAGCATTTCCAAGGCACAGGCTCTGGAATCAGATCATCTGATTTGAATTCCTTGCTAATAACTGGCAAGTGGGATGAGCATAGTACAATAAGAGTACTCAGTAAATGTTATATATAGCTATTAAATAATTATAAATCATTAACTAATTGCTAGCGCCCAATGCTAAGGAAAACAAAGATGTTTTATGATACACTTTTGCAGCTGACTCCATAAGGGACCTCAAATCAAGGAAGGGCATCTTAAGAAGATGACATTTACACCGAGACTGAAAGAGGAACAGCAATCAGGCAGACAAAGACAGGACAAGAATGTTCCAGGCAAAGGAAACTGAGGCACAGTCCTGGTGGCCTGGAATGAGCTAAGTAGTGGCTAGGTCAAGCAGTGCCTTGGGGACAAGAGTAAATCAAAGTCGAGTTTTAACAGAAGAATGCCAGCCCAATTTCTTTTAAAAAGATCACTCTGGTTATAGTCCCGTAGACAGTTAACTGGAAGAGGAGCAAGAATGGGGTCAGAAGACCCGTAAGAACCATTTGCTGCGTTTAGGGCAAGAGTTCAGGCAAGATGAGGAAGCAGCGCTGGGGAGCGGCAGCAGAGACTGTAAAGCTTTCTCATTGGTAAAATCAACAGACTCGGTGGCTGACTGATGAAGAGCTGGAGCAAAGACCAAGGATAACGCTGGGATTCTTACAGCTGGCGAGACAGACGGCTTTCCCCGGAGAATGCACAAGGAGAGGGGAGAGCTGGGTGATGCCGAGAGCCCAGCTGAGGCTGGTGGCCAGGCACATCTGGTGGAGCCGATAGGCCCAGCTGTGATACTCACAAGCCTGGTAAGAACAGAGAGGCTCAAGTGGTGGATTCCATCCAGACAGCAAACAGGAAAGAAGCCAAGGGCTACTGGTAAGAATGATCAATCATTAGATCCAAGGGAACGGGGAAATACCAACAAGGAGTTAAATCCCATTAAATTAAGTATCCTAAAAGTATTTAGTTGAACTGATAATATTGTTCTCTAAAATATTAAGTGCAATAAATGGCCGGCTGATTAAGTAGTAAATTTTATTCTGTAATTTTTTGATGTGGCAGTATTTTAACTATACTAATAATCTGTTGCATAAATGCATAAATAGTGCCCTTTTTAATATGTTTAACACTTACTGAACACTTTCTAAATATCTTATGCAATGTTCATGACCCAATGAAACAGGTGAGAAAACAGGTTATATGAGGCTAATGACTTGCCAAAGGTGGCACCCTAAATGGGAGTGAAGTCTGGAGTCTCATATGCCAAGGACTGTACAGTTATTTGTTCTTGATAGGTTTTCAAATAGTCCTTAAGCCTATATCTTTAATTTGCCCCCTCTAAATTCTGAGTCTACTGACTGTATACTGAAAACATTCAAAGATACTCCTCAAGCAAAGACAATATTAACTTTCCCATTTTCAAAAGGAAGTTACTATGAAAAGTGAAGTACTGTATAAAAAGCACTTAGCAAAATGCATGATACACAGTAAGAACTCAACAAATGTAACCTAGTATTATTACTGTCTCTTCAAACACAGTTCTCATCTTCTTCCCAGGCATAAGTCTTTTCTCTTTCACACAACCCCTTTCACTGGTTTTCTGGATCAATTCCTTATCTCTTTGTAGATAAGGAATAATACAATGATTCCTCATCTCTGATACCAGCTTCTTCATTCTTCTTTAAACATTCTTAATCTCCCTCATTAAACACATTGAAGGACAGACACCTACAGCCTTAATTCTGTTACACACTCTGGTTCATTCTCATGCTGACAGTCCTTACACACCCTCTTCATTCCAACTGAAACTCCATAACATGTGCGTTTCCATTCCAACAGGATACTGAAACTGCTCACAAAAGTTGCCAGAGATTTTGCCTTCAACCTACTTGACTATTCTTTATAGTGCTGGCCTCTGCTAATCCCACATTTATGCTTGGAATTCTCCCTTCATTTCCAAAGCAGTATTCTTCCCCCCACACCCCATCCCGCTTAACTGTTAGTTTTAACCAACAATCATTTTCTCTTTCTTCCCTTACTTTCTTAATAAACTCATTACATATCACTTCTATGCTCATAAATCCTACATCTACAACCATATCATGACTGCCACTCATGCAAGCCAGGCCTGTAGGATATGTTTGATTATCCCGCCACTGTTAACTTAAGATACTGGAAAATGAAATTCACCTTCCCCATCCCTTGTAGGGAGGTAGTGGGGGGGAGCTCCTTTTGAACTGTTCCATTAAGAACAATGCCATCTCTCTGCTCCTCCAGGCTAATTGTACAGCGTCATCTTAGGTTCTTCCATCTCCCCTAAGCTCTACCTAACCAGTGACCTCTTTTTAAATGTTTCCTGGATATGCCCTTCCTTTTCTCCTTCCACTAGATGACAATCCAACCTACTTGGGTACATAATGTTTTAAGACTAATCTTGCTGAAACATTGCTTTTATAACTCTTGAACCTATGATGGTTCTAAAAGTCTTCCACGTCAGATCCAAACCTAGTTTTCATGGCTTTACATGAGTGATTACATTGTTAAACCTAACTAAACTAAACCAGTTGAAAACTGGTTTTCAACTCTCTTCAGGGCTAAAAAACCTTATTTAGGGATCACCAGGTACAGTTCTTTTGTTTAAGGAGTGAGGTAATCCTGTCTCAAGGAAGTTGTGACATGCCTCATGTCACAGACATCGTAGTATCTGATTCAAAAGTAAAGTATTCAGACAGGCCAAGTGGCATCTCCTCACTAGATTACCCTGTGAGATCCCCAGCGGCGCCATGCAGACCCACTTCCCTGCCACCAACAGAAGTCACGCAGCCCTGCCTTCAGGGTTCAACTTCTGGTGACAGCATCCACCCCTACTCGCCCTCCAAGGCTCGGCTCCCGCCCCACAAGCTCCTTCTGTCACATTCCCAACTACCCAGCCCACCACACCTCTCCTCTTCACTGTGCTACCCTGAGAACCAGCATTTTCTGCTCCACACATAACTTGCCTCTCAGTATTCAGTCTGACTAAAGCCCTGCCAGCTAAACAGCCAGCCACCTGAGATGGGACAGCTTTCAACCCTGCAGCCCAGAGGAAATACTTAATACGTGCAGGTCACTGAGAAGAAGGAACACAGGAATGGGGAGAGGTACTATCTGGCCTGGAAAGGCGCTCATTTTAGCAGGAATCTCCAGTATACTGCTGCTGCTAAGCCGCTTCAGTCACATCTGACTCTGTGCGACCCCACAGACGGCAGCCCACCAGGCTCCCCCGTCCCTGGGATTCTCCAGGCAAGAACACTGGAGTGGGTTGCCATTTCCTTCTCCAGTGCATGAAAGTGAAAAGTGAAAGTGAAGTCGCTCAGTCGTGTCCGACTTGTAGCGACCCCATGGACTGCACCCTGCCAGGCTCCTCCGTCCATGGGATTTTCCAGGCAAGAGTGGGGTTGCCATTAGCTTCTCCACAGTATAAACCAGTTATAATTTTGTTTTCACTTAATTACAGTTCAAATCTAATTAACAACCAGAATGATAAAACATACTTACTGTCATGAAATACGCTGAGAACCGTGTTGTCAGTGGTACTTAAGAACACCTGCCTAAAAAAGGTGTCTAATCTCTGCCCAATTTCAACCTAGAACATAAACATCTATTAGTAGTTAAAAAAAAAAAAAGGGCATAGCCCATAGGCTTTCCTTCTAGTAAAATTTTTAGAGGCATGTATAATTTTACCTGCCATTATTTAATGTAATATATAGCAATAAAATGATGCAGAATGCAAGCACCCAATAAATGTTTGTTAAATTGGAAGATATCTTTTGGAAAACTTACAAAAAAGTTAATGCCACTGGGGAGAGATATTGCTTTTCCAACATATATTTAGTCATGTTCATCATAAATATTCATCACAACACACCAAATTATATAATATGCAAGAGACCAAAAAAAAAAAAAATCACATCACGTATCTAAACTATTTAAAATACCAACACCCAGACTTATCAACTTAATTTTTTGGTAAGGGTTTTCTTTGTTTTAGAGTGAGAGTTAGGGTCCAAAAGCTTTTCAAAGGGGAAACAAATTTATCTCAGAATGTAATGCTTTTAAACATCTCATATTATAGTGAGAAGACGAATGTTGCCCAGAGAACAGCAAAATCAATTAAGACCTTTATTTATCATTTTAAGATACCACCATGTTGGACTAAAATTGCATCTGGAAAGCACTTCATTCTCACTGTAAGGCATAAATAGCTGAATAAACTGGCATCAATTACAATGTTACAATCTCCTTTTCTCAAGTAAAACAACTAAATGGAGAGTAGGGGGAACAAAAATATACCCTTTCAGTGTTAATTTTTAAAGGATTAAAAAATATGGATATACATTCAAGCAGGAAATCTAGTAAATAGCAGAAAAAATTGTAAACCACTGAATTGAATTTTAAAATGCCATTACAAGGGTCTAGGCGGCAAGACTGGCTGGCACTGTCTACTCTGCTATAATCTTAAAAGCAATTTCTAATTTCTTTTCAGGTAACGTCCTCTTTCTAACCCATAGCTGCCCGGAAAATTCCTTCCTTGTAGCTTTAAGTGTTATTTTTCAAAGGGTGTCTGGAGGGGGTTGGGGGTGGGGGAGAATCTTCAGAATACTTAAAATGTAGGAGCTGTATGCATTTTGCTGGGGGAGGGGGTGCACACCTCACTACAATCGCTCACCCAAATAGTTGTCAGTATATATTTAGACTTGGTATATTAAAAACACTATGACCGCATATGGTATATATTTTCTTAAAGGCAGGTTATGATATATGTGAAAGCTCAAGGGAATGCATACATCTGTTTAATGTTTAAAGAAATGCAAATTTGTATCCAAGAAAAGCAGCAGACTCTTCCTCCACCCTCCAGTCTCTGGCATCAAGACCCGAGTTTTGCATCAATGCAATCCCTAAATTAAACTAAAGGAGCAGTGTGAAGAAAGAATAATCGCCTTTTGAGGTACTGGGGTTAAACTTTTTACTTTACAAATAAAATTCCTGTTTGTTAATGCCACTTACATTGATCAGGTTGCCTCATCACTTCATATTGTTGATTAGTTTCCGTATCAGAGAGCGGAAACCATCCCAGCAATTCGTGGCACGAACCGTAGAGTCCATGCAGGTTAAGCGGGATGCTATTCTTTTTTTTTTTTTTTAAGTCATACATTACCTAACCTTGCTTAAATCATCTCATTAAAGTACTCTGGGCAAGATTACGACTTGTGGGTGCTCCGTAATTCTTTGTTCTCGGAGACTACTACTCCTAAGGCCCGGCACATCCTCCCTGCCTCCCACCCAAGATTAAAACCTTAGCCCAATCCGGAAAGCTTCCTTCCCACCTTCGGGGCAAGTCCAGGGACCGCAAGCCGCCAGATGGCTGCATTCTTTACGCGTAAACCAGACTGCGGGGAAACCAAATCCATTCCTTCCGCCCGGGGACCTGGCTTCCTCCCCTACGAAGGTGAGCGGGCTGGCCCCGGCCCCCCGGCCCGCCCGTCCGACCTGTCAGTCCCGCCCGCGCCGCGCGGGCTACCCTGGCGCGCATCCCCCCGACTCGCCCGGCCCAGGCCCGGGCCCGCGCCCAACGCCCGCCGCCCGCCCGCCGCGCGGCGCCCGGGGTGCCGGGGCAGCAGACAGAGCGGCCCGGCCCCGCCGTGCCCCCGCGGGCGGGCGGGCAGGCGGGAGAGGGGCGCCCCCGGGGACCCCCGCGAGGGGGCCAGGCCGGGGGTGGGGGCAGGATCGGGGCCGGGGGGCCGGGCCGCGTCCCCCGCCCCCACGGCCGGCTCTCCGCACAAAATGGAGCCGGTCGGGGCGCCGCCGAGAGCGGGCCCGATGGTGACCCGGTGCCCCCTACTCGGCTTCGGGCCCGCAGCTCGGCGGCGGCTAGCAGGAGGCGGCCTGGCCCGCGTCCCGCCGCTCCTCGGCCCGGCGCACAAAGAGCCGAGGAGCGGCCCCGCGCCCGCTCCCCGACCGGGCCCGCAGCGGGACAGGCCTCGCAGGCGCCCGCCCGGCCCCGGCCCCGGCCCCGGCGGGAGGGCGGGCGGACAGAAGGGAGGCGAGTGCCCCCGGCCGCGGCGGCGTTGGCGGCGGGGACGGCGCCGGGAGGAGACGGACATTTCATTCGAGCTAAAGTGGAGTCGGTTTAGGAGCGATCATTGGCCGAAGCGAGACACAAACCTCCAATGCAGCCCTGGTTGGCTCCCGTCTCCAATCGGCTGTTTGGTTGGACAGAAAATGGCTGCGAAGGAACCAGTCCCAGCGCGGAGCTCCGCTTCCAGGACTCGGCCTCCCCTCCCTCCGCCGCGGGCCGCTTCCCTCGGCGCGACACCCTCCCTCCGCGCCTCCCGCGCGCCCTCCCGGCACGGCCACGCCCCGGCCCCGGCCCCGCCTCCGACCCCGCCCCGCGCGCCCGGCAGCCGGAGCTTCGCCAGCCTGCAGAGCCGCCTGCAGAGCCGGCTGCAGGCTGCGGCGGGCAGGTCCTGCGGGGCTACCCGAGCCGGCCAGTGGCCTCCTCGTTCCGCTGAGGCTTCCAGGGACTAGGGCTCGAGCGAGCTGCTGCTGAGGTCTTTGCGGAGTTGCTTCCCTTGGTGTTTTCCCCAGGCTTTGAGAAGGGTGATTTCTCAGCCCGCCCTCTCTTTTCAATCCCCTCCCTCCCCCACGTGGAAGCGTCTCACCCACCTGAGTGCAGCCTGCCTGCGCCTCGATTTTTAAGAAGGGTAAACCAAGGTTAGAAGCCGCGGGCAGAGCGACACCCGAGCCACAAGGTGGATCTGTGCGGCGATTGCCTCCTGGTGCTGAGAGTAACTCGTGTTCGCCTTGTGTCGCTGTAAATGTTGCTACAAGCACAGCGGTCTTTCTCAGTCGACCACCGAGCTCCGGTGTTAGTTTTTCAAATTCCATCTAAAGATACAATCCTCTCCTTCATGTTTAACAAGTTGTCAGACTAGTGAGCCTTCACCCCAGCTTAAAATATTGCATATCCCTTAAAATACTGCACCACCAATGTGTGGCTTTTCCCAACCAGATGACATTTGGGCTGCAAGAATCCATGGCCCGTTCTTGCTTCGGTGCAGGCTCCCTCGCTGTCTTTCCCTGAGTGCAGTCTGGACCGGTCTTCCCTGGACCGCCACCATCACAGATGGGCGGCGAGCCAGACACCACTCGCTGCAAAGCGCGCAGGGTTTTGCAACCAGGGCCGGGAATCGCGTTCTCTTTACTTCCACTAAACAAGTGGCTCCGTGCCACATTAAACTTTCCAGCTTTAATCATTTAAAAATATATAGCTATGTTTTATTTATAAAGCTCCTACTGTTGGGCTGCATATTTTCACATTTCTGGAGCAAATAAGGAAGCAAAGACAAATGAAAGCCTCCAAATTATTCCAAGAGAAGTAAGTAAGCAATACCACCCTGGGATCAGACAATCTGGTTTGAATTCCAACTCCCCCTCTTACTGGCATGTGATCCTGGCCAAATTTCTTAATATTGCTTCTGTTTTATGTTTGGGTTTTTGGCCCTGAGGCATATGGGATCTTAGCTTCCTTACCAGGGATCAAAACCCATTTGCATTGAAAGGTGAAGTCCCAACCATTGAACCACAATAGAAGTCCCCTCCATTAAATTTTTTTAAACTGTTATTTGCTAAAAAGGAGTAAAGTTGGCCTATGTTTTATCTCCTCCCTTTATGATTTCCATAAAGTGGAGTTTTAGGAGTGAAATCATGTACTCAAAGGTAGAAAATATAAAAAAGGAAGAATAGAACTGGAAGTATGATGAATCCACACACTGGATGATGACTCAAAAGATGCAAAGATGACTGACTACTTTCCCTGAATTCCTATGGTATTATTTCAGTGCCACTGATATAATCTACATACTTAATTCAGAGTCAACAGATTGTCCAGCTCCTACTGTCCACAAGCACTGTGCTAGGAGTGTGGGGGCTACAAAGGTGAATAAAGCACTGTCTTTCCCTGGGAGCTACCATTGGGAGACAGGAGACCCAGGCCACACCCTCTCTGCAGTTGAAGGCCAACTGGTTACCCAGCCTTAACGACCTGTGTTCTCTGTGCCTCTAAAACCTGTGTTCCAGAAGCCTCCTATCAACACCCACCATGTTTCATGATCACACGGTGAAAGAGAGGATGTGGATCACAATTGAATGCCGGGGAAAAGACCTTCTCTGGGCTAATCTTGACTTTGTATTGCAGGCCAAAGGACAGGTAGTTTCACTTCGTTCCTCTTCTAGTCCAGGGGCTTCCCTAGTGGCTTAGACGGGAACGAATCCGCCTGCGATGCGGGAGACCTGGCTTCGGTCCCTGGCTTGGGAAGATCCCCTGGAGGAGGGCATGGCAATCCACTCCAATATTCTTGCCTGGAGAATCCACTTGAACAGAGGAACCTGGCGGGCTACAGTCCAAGGGGTCGCAAAGAGTCAGACACGACTGAGCGACTAAGCGTGCACATACTTTCCTAGTCCGTACCACAGCTGCCCCTTATTTATCCCACCATAATTCGGCAAACATTAAAACAGAATCCCTGGCTCAATGAAGACTCCTCAGTTGGATTTTACTTTATTGCTTTAATGAGACCTCATAAATCCCCATGATGACAGTATCTATTGTATTACTACTGTTGTCTCTGTTCCCAGCTTCCCGGTCTACTCTTGCCCCATCCTCTCCATCCATTATCAGCGCTGACGGCCTGGAAGGGTCTAGCTTCCGCTTCCGTCTCCCACCTCTGATGTTCCTCTAGGCCCACTCCCACCTCAACACCTTCTAAACACACTGGCCTCAGCTCTGCTACACACACACACACTCTCACACACACACACACACTCATATACACACACACACTCACACACACACTCATAGACACACACCCACACACACTCATACACACACACGTGCACACATGCACACACAGTCACACTCACACACTCTCACTCACACACAGACACACGCACACACACACACTCACACTCACAGAGACATGCGCACACACAGACACACTCATACACACACACACACACACACTCATACGCACTCACACACACAGACACACGCGCGCACTCATGCAGTCAGACACGCACACACACACACTCATACACACCACTCACACTCACACACACACTCTCACACTCACACAGACACACAGACACATGCGCACAGACACACTCATACACACTCACACACTCACACACACACAGACACGCACAGACACACGCACACACACAGACACACACACACACACAGACACGCGCACACTCACACACACACTCTCACACTCACACACACACAGACACACACACGCACACTCATACACACACTCACACACTCTCACACACACACAGACACACACAGACACACGCGCACACACAGACACACTCATACACACTCACACTCACATGCACTCACACACACAGACACACTCATACACACTCTCACACAGACACACGCGCACACACAGACACACACACACTCACACTCTCACACTCACACTCACACACACAGACACACTCACACACACTCACACTCACACACACACTCTCACAGACACACGCACACACACACTCATACACACTCACACACTCTCACACTCACACACTCACACTCACACACACACACACTCTCAGACACACAGACACACGCGCACACACAGACACTCATACACACACACACTCACACACACACACTCACTCTCACACACTCACACAGACACACGCGCGCACACAGACACACACACACTCACACACTCACACACTCTCACAGACACACAGACACACGCACACACACAGACACACTCATACACACACTCACTCACACACTCTCACACTCACACACTCATACACACACACTCACACACACATACACACTCACACACTCTCACACTCACACACTCACACACACACACACTCTCAGACACACAGACACACGCGCACACACAGACACTCATACACACACACACTCTCACACACACACACTCATGCACACTCACACTCACACACACACACACTCTCAGACACACAGACACACGCGCACACACAGACACTCATACACACTCACTCACACACTCACACTCACACACTCATACACACTCACACACACTCACACACACACTCTCACAGACACACAGACACGCGCACACACAGACACTCACACACACTCACACACACATACTCACACTCACACACACTCACGCACTCACACACAGACACGCGTGCGCACTCACACGCACACACACTCTCACCCTCATACACACTCACTCTCACACACTCACACTCACACAGACACACGCGCACACACAGACACACTCACACACACTCACACACTCACACTCACACACTCACAGACACACAGACACACGCACACACACAGACACACTCATACACACTCACTCACACACACTCACTCACACACTCTCACACACACACACTCACACACACACACTCACACACTCTCACACTCACACACACTCATACACACTCACACACTCACACACACTCATACACACTCACACACACTCTCACACTCACACACAGACACACACAGACACACTCGCACACACAGACACACTCATACACACTCACACTCTCACACTCACTCACACACACAGACACACACAGACACACACTCACAGGCTCTAGCCTTGAGCTGTTAACTGGCTCCTTTTCATCTTTGAGGCTTCATCTCTTCAAGGTTTTCCCTCACCACTGACCTCTTGTAAAACCCCACTCAGTTACTCTCTATAATCACAGAGTCACCCCGTCGTATCATAACAATATGACTTTCATCCCAATATGCTTGGCCTCACTGGATCACCTTGGTTGGTTGTTGTCTGTCAATATATCCAAGCTGGGCATGCCTCTCCGCCCGTCTCCTCCCACCGAGGCAGCCGCAGTGACCTCCTGACTTGTCCCCTGCTTCTAGTCTGCCTTACACAGCAACCGGGGTGATCCCACCCAAGTGGGAGTCAGATTCTGTCACTCCTCTGCTCAAAAACCCTCCAGTACCCCCCTATTTTCCCCAGAGTAAAAGACAAAAGACTCTACAGTGGCCTTGCAAGCAGAGAGTGACAAGTTTGTACATTTCAAGTTGAACAAAGGGAAAGACTAATTGTTCTTTGGCCGTTAAACAAGCAACACCCAGAATCTTTCTCAATCAATGACAACCTCCCAATCATGGCTGCTGCTGACCTCAGGAAGCTAGCCAATCAGCAACAGGCACACTCCACTAATCCTCTTCCTTCTTCAGCTGGAGGCCGATTCATCTCTGATCAGTGTGGCTTCTACAAGTTCCAGTCTCTGAACCCTGCACTTCCTGAGCATTGTACAAGACCATAGACTTCTCTGTTCAAAGATGCTCTGCCTTATAATACAGCTGTCCTTTGCTTAGCCAGAAATATATTCATCACTTTTTATTTGTCAGATGTGAAGATCAGGCTTCCCTGATAGCTCAGTTGGTAAAGAATCCACCTGTAATTCAGAAGACCCCAGTTCAATTCCTGTGTTGGAAAGTTCCCCTGGAGAAGGGAAAGGCTACC